CAGATTTATATATCTTATCTATGGTATCTAGATTATATATCTCATCTAGGAGAGAATTATCATCCAGTGACACCCCCGTAACTTCTAAATGTTCCTTTTTTTCAGTGTTTTAAACTATCACTTTAACTGCTTTAATTACTGTACAAAACCTGCCTTTTCATTAAGTGTAAGATCCTCTGTTGTACTTAATAAAAGGAATTGGGGAGGTTAGGGGAGGTGTAACTGTTCCACCTAGTTTGCCTGTTGCTCTACATTCACTTCCAGAGTCTATTTATACCTTTATAAAAGAAGATTTTCCTCAGCTATGTGAATTTGTCTGATAAATATTCTTAATTTTGCCTTTGAGACATATCTGAGGAACATGGCTTTCAGGTAGTTTTAACGTTTTACCAACATATGTACAACCTATATGGAGGCTACGTTTGCCCAATTTGCCAGAGTTTCTGCCAAGTCTTAGCTGGAATTATTTTTCCTAAAAACTCTTATCATTAGATTCAGTGTTTTATCTCTCAACTCTTTATATGATCATCAAATAGCCTTTTATTATTTGATAGCACAAATACATTTTCACACTCTTCAGTTCTCTGATTGTTGGTTGACAACCACTACATAGGAATAGATCTGAAAAGTACTGGAAATGAAGTAGGCACTGAAGAATACTGGGAATAGGAGCTTGAGCTGGAAATAAAGCCAATATTTTCCATTACTGTTGATGACAATCTTGACTAATTAATTTATACCATATTGATAAATCAATTTGTTACATAGGGCATAAAAGCTTGGTAATGCAACACAATGATGATTGTCCTATGCCCACTGAAAACCTCCTCTGTTGGAGGCCTTGTTCCTTCTTATGTCCCATCAGGGAAACCCAGAAAGATGACAGATCTCCCTTTTTTAATATGCCCATGGATGGCAGGGCAGGGGGGGCATTTTCTGCCAATCCTGGCAACAGAAGAAAAATATTTAGATCAGCTCAAATATTTAGATCAAGAGAAAAAACAATTAGATCACAAATGTTTCCCAGGTATGAAATGTGGTGGGGAACCCCCAATTCAGTCTCCCCTCTACATCTTTCATCTTTTTATTTTTCAGGCTGAGCAAAGGGGATCACCATTGTGCAGAAGAGAGAGCTCATTTTGTCTCCATCTAGTGCTGGAGTAGAGCTGGGCGCACATATTTAAAGAAGAGAGTCCCATAAAAGATAGACACGGCCATGAGATGGGTTGAGCAGGTTGAGAAAACGCTGTGCCTTCGCTCACTGGAATGGATTCTGAGGATGGCCATGGCAATGTATGCACAGAAGATGCGGGTAACGGACACAGACGCAATGCCAAAGCTGCACGATAGGCCAGAAGGCACCCTCTCGTTGAGTCTGGGGTCCGAACAGGAGAGTCCTATTACTGCAGGAGTGACAGAAAATGAGTCAAAAGATCAGGTTGTGGCACTGAGCATGCCAAAAGGTATGGGATGATTATTAGCTGGGCACAAATTCTGTGACATAATCACTGTGTAGAGCAACATACTGAAAACGGCCACACACCAGTCATGCAGCATAGCAGATGAGAGGAAATTCTCTGTGGGCACAATGAGAACAAAAAAACCTACATCTGCACAGCACATCCAATCAGTGAAATTGATTTCATGTTCATAACCAGGTCCAATCACATCTTCGGTGTTAGAATGGTGAAGCAGCAGAGGTCCACAAAGGACATGTCTGCCTGACATGTGGCAGAACACTCTGTGCCCCTATCGGCCTCATCAGCCACCTGTGGACACACCGTGGACAACTCACAACCCGTTAGATGTCAAGGTCCTCATCGAAAACGATGGACTAACATCAACATGGTGGTATGAAATTGTGATCTAATCTTGATTAAAAAGACCATCCCCAGATTTCCAGTCAGGGTGATAATGTATCCCACTAAGATGACCATGAAGAGAGGGATTTGCATTTTGGAGCATTGGCAAGTAGTGCAAAAATGAATTCATATACTGTTGAATAATTGCCCATCTTGTACTGTGCAGAACAAACACAAAGAATTCATATAACTTCAGTTATTTGGGCAACAGAGAGCTATAATAAAGCAAACACACAGGCAAACAAACAAAACATTCCCCCGCACCCATTGAAATTTGATGGACAAGCATAGCTCCAATTCTATAAATTAAGGAAAAAAGGTCAGCCACTCTAGGAACGGTCCTTGCCCTGGGACTCTGGAACGATGGGTGTGGGGGTTAGGGAGGTTATGATCTTCAGGTCAATTTCATACACATTCCTTTGTCAAGGACAGCCATCAGTATCTCTTGCTCTGCAACACTTGAGATTCCTCTGCTTCAAGGTTTTAGCTGGCCACTTTTCCAAGGTACCTCCTTCCAGATTATTTGTGGAATTAAGATGGGCCCCTTTACACACACTTTCTTCTGTCTGTGTGTAGGCCTTTCACTGCCTTTCTGTATGTTCCCTTACACAACCACAAGGTGGTGCTGTGGTATCGCAGAAATGTGAAAATAGCCGAGCCTCTCATTCCAGTTTGTTCCACATTGGAAAGGGAAAACCTCCTTTTCCTCATGCCAAAAGCAGCAGGATAAATACTTGGAAGAGTGGGGGAATGCTAGAGGAGGAGGATGTTGCATTAAGTCCCACAAACCACCCTGAATGCACAATAAATGCCTTGTGTAGAGAAGCTCATAGAAACTTCCACATGAAATGGTTCCACACAACCTTCCCATTGGGACAACAACCCTGCATCCCAGCATTCATAATCATTCATGCATTCCTTTATTGTTTATTTAATTTGCAAACCTGGAGAGGAAAGGAAGACAGTGTGCCTGCACCTGTTCTTACCACAAGCACACAGCTGCAGAGGAATTCTCCGGCCATCTGCAGGACAGGTGCTTTCCCCATGAATGGTGTTTTTGTGCTGCTCAGGTATTACTGGGGGAGGTTGGGGACCCCTGTGCCAGCAGGGGGTTCTTACCCATTTTATCCTGAGCTTTATGGGAGCTTGGCAAAACCATCTTGAGGATAGAGTTCAGAAGCATGGATAGCTCCTGTGAAGTTTAGGATAAATGCTGCACTGGATATGGAGCCCCAATGTCACAGGTGTCACCAGCCCATTCCAGGTACTGCTTTTCCACCATCAGCTGGAAGTGGGTGCCAGGTGCAGTTCCAAACAGCGGCATATTCCAGTGAGTGTTTCACACTTCCAAACACTGAACTATGGAGAGGCTTGAAAACAGAGAGATGCAGATTTTGTGATCTCTATTCTGCCAATGTTTTGCAGACTGCCAAGTGTCTTTTGTTCCATCATCTGTTTATGGGTGGAATCGGATTTTTTTAACCAAAATCTCATTCAAAATCTCATTCTCTGTGTTAGTTAATGTGACTTGCCATGAATTTGAATTAATGCAAATATTCTGCAAAAATTAAAAAAACAACCAGTCTGCTCCCCAAGTTCAATCCAAAAGCAAGGAGTTGCTTATCTGCCAATTTTAGTGAATGGCAGCAGAAGTGGCTCTCTTTTTGCCCAGAGCGTTGCATGTGGATAGGCCTGAAAGAGGAACTTCTGGGCCATGCTGCTAGGAATCTTCCTTTGCCAAGGTGTGGTAAATTTACTTAGGCCAAAAGCTGGGGTGAGAGCAAGCAAACTAAGAAAACAAGAACATGGGCATTTTTATAACAGTCACCCGATCCATCTTGATTAATTTATTTACTTATTGCGTTTTGTTTTTGGCTTTCCGCTTGTAGTGGGTAGCATACAATATTAGAGTAGTGTGGGGGAAGAAAGGCAAGTGAGTGAGAGAACTGAAGAGTTAATCAAAAGAAAACTTAATAGATTTTGGAGAAGTGCAAATGAGGGCTTTAGATGTCTCCCCCAATCAGGTTCACTTCACTAGGAAGTCTAAGAAGGATATATGAGAAGTTTTTGTGAGACTATGATATGTAGCGATACCTTTGCATGCATTAAGATCACATGTATATGTTTGTGATTGGTTAAAATGCACTCATGCTATATGATATTAGTAGAAGTATAAATTCTTTGTTCAAATTTTTGTTCAGGGAATCTGCTTCTTTCTTAGCAGACTATTCACTTTGCAGAATGATAATAAATCTTGCTGTATACCACAAACTGTTAATTGCTTTATTGATCTCCAAGTCAACAAACCAGAAAATAAACCCATCCCTCTCGGATGGCTCTAGTGAGGGAGAGCCCACCACTTCCCTAAGTCAGGGTTCCCTTGCTGTACTGCAGTACAGATGCTGAAGTTCTTCCCGATGTTCGGTGGAAATCTGGCTTCCTGTAACTTAAGCCTGCTGTTCTGTGTCCTACACTCTGGGATGACTGAGAAGAGATCCTGTCCTTCCTCTTTGGGACAGCCTTTCAAGTTCTGTACGACTGCTATCATATCCCCCCTCAGTCTTCTCTTCTCAAGGCAAACATGCCCAGTTCTGTCAATCCCTCCTCATAGGCTGTCGCTTCCAGTCCCTGCATCATCCTTGTTGCCCTCTTCCGAACCGTTTCCGGCTTGTCTGCATCTTTCTTGAGTTGTGGTGCCCAGATCAGATGGGGCCTAACAAATGCCAAACAGAGGAGAACCGGTACCTTACATGATTTGGAAGCTATACTTCTATCACTGCAGCCGAATGTAGATGAATTGAAGAATTGAAATATTCAGGTTCATCCTCTTCCATGGCATGCAATGCCAAACTTTCCTGGGACTGTGACTCATGCTACGTTTTACTGAGACAGGGTAATTCCCACAGGCTTCTTGTATGCTGGCATATAAGGGGCACAGGGCCACGGTCTGCAAGAGTACACCACCACTGGCTCCCTGAGAGATCAGTGACTAGCAGCCAGTCTTGCATGCATGCTTGAAATTTGCAGCAAGTTCTTAGTCATGCATGTTCACTTGGAAGCAGTTCATGCTGCTTACTGCCTTGTGCAAGCTTTAATTCTCAATAAGAGAAAATGTTCTTGCAGAAGAAAGTTGATCATTCATGCGTCAATGGAAACCCCTTTCTTCTTTGTTACCCTTCTCAAGGCCTTCTGCACTTCCTTATTCCTCAAGCTGTAGATCAGAGGGTTCACCATGGGGATCACCATGGTATAGAAGACAGCAGCAACTTGGTCTTGCCCTTCAGAGTAGCTTGAGGTGGGCTTCAGGTAGATGAAAAGGATGGTGACATAGAACAAGCTGACGGCCAGCAAGTGGGAAGCACAGGTAGACAAGGTTTTTTTCCTTCCCTCGGTTGAGGTGATCCTTCGGATGGTGATGAGGATATAGACGTAAGATATAAGAATGGTGAGGAAGGAGCAAAGACCTATCAGGGAAGAGATCACAAAAAGCAGGATGCGGTTGAGCGTAGTGTCGGAGCAGGAAAGCTCCAGAATTAAGGGTACATCACAAAAAAAGTGTTTGATGACATTGGAGCTGCAGAAGGGAAGCCGGAAGGTGGTATTTGTGTGTATCATGCCATTGGCACATCCCACCAGGTATGATGCCAGGACTAGCCAAAGACAAACCTTCTTGGACATGACGACAGAATACAGTAGAGGGTTACAGATTGCTACGTAGCGGTCATAGGCCATGGCAGCCAGTAGCTGGCACTCTACAGTAGCAAACACAGCATAGAAGTAAAACTGGGTGGCGCAACCAATGAATGAAATAGCTTTCTTCTCAGCCAGGAAATTCACCAGTGCTTGGGGGACAATAGTGGAAGAGTAACAGAGATCTGAGAAAGACAGGTTGCTGAGGAAAAAGTACATGGGTGTTTGCAGATGGGTGTTAAGACGAATCAGTGCAATCATTCCAAAATTTCCCAGAAGAGTGATCACATAGATGGTTAGAAACAGCACAAAAAGAGATATGCGGAGCAGTGGATCGCCCGTGAATCCTGCAAGAATGAATTCTGACACTGTGCTCTGATTCCACTGGGCCATGGTAGCTGAACAAGCAGCCTGTAAAATGAAGGAGAAAGACCAATGTACATCCCATGAGTCCTTAATTCAGTGATCTCTGACCATCAGAGGAAAGCATGCTCTAACGTAACTGTTGTCTACAGACCAACTTGTCACCTATGGTACGCGTATGTGATCAGTTGTTTTCATTGCAAATCTGGAAGATGGATATGATGATCTATGGCGCTGTGGTCCTTTTCTGCTAATTTGGATTCATGGTCCCTATCTTATTTAGGGTTGTATTATTTCATGCGTAGTCTTTGGACGTGTGAATGGAGTGAGCAATTAGAGCTGAAGCCAATGAGGCAGGGCCAGAGCCCGCTGTGTGCTATCCCTTTTCTCTTTCTGCAGTCCCCTTTTTCTCTCATCCTCTTCTCTCACATGCCACAGGTTTCTAGGGAAATGACAGATCACCCGTGCTGGAGGTCTGAGCTGACTGCATGCAGTGGGCTTTGAGGGGCACTTTAAATTAGATTGAAAGTGACAGGGTATCCCCCCTTGATTTGTATGACCTTTGGATAAGCAGTGCATGAATATGGACAGATATTCATTACCTCCTGAAGGCTTGAAACAAATCTTTGAGAAAGCACGTGCATCTTAGGAAGTATCAGGATCCAGATGATACACTTCCTGATACTGCAACTGGAGTATTGTGCTTAGTTTTGGGCCCCTCATTACAGGAAGGATATAGCCAAATTAAAGTCAGTGCAGCGTAGGGCCACAAGGTTGGTGGCCGGCTTGCAGGGGATACCGTATGAGGCGAGACTGAGGGAAATGGGTCTCTTCAGCCTGGAGAAGAGGAGACTCAGAGGGGATCTGTTGGCGACATACAGGTATGTGAGGGGATGTCACACGGAGATGGGTAGAGACCTGTTCTCCCCTGCAGAGGAAGGCAGGATGTGCTCCAACAGAGCAAAGCTCAGGGAGCCAAGGTTCCATTTGGATGCCAGGAAGCACTTCCTGACAGTCAGGACCCCGAGGGTGTGGAATGGGCTTCCACGGGAGGTGGTTGAGGCCCCATCAGTGAGGGTGTTCAAGGACAGGCTGGACGGCCACATGGTGGGCATGTCGTGAGCAGAGCCAGCTGGAGCCGGGAGCCAGACTAGATGGCCCAGGAGGCCCCTTTTGACTTGCTCTGTTTCTATGTTTCTGATTCTTGTATGTGTTAAAAGATCTAAGGACTGAGTTCAGTTTCAGTTCTGGCTGGATCAGGTACTTAAATCTGAAGTTTGTTTGGTTATTATTAAGGCAATAGACTTCAGTATTAGGATTAGTTCAAGAATCAGTTACTAGGTACATTGGAAACTAAGTCCTCACCAGGATACGAATTCAGAATAAAGAATTTGTATTAAAGAATTTACAGAAGTGTTTTAACAAACACTTTTATGTGGGCAGAACTTGCTGATATCTGCTCCCCAGTTCTTTGTTGCTGTAATGGGAGGTTACTGCCCATCCTGACAGGAAGCCATCAAGGGACCAAGGGAGGATGTGGCAGCAGATGCTGCAGTGGGAATGCAGTGCTTTGCCACTACAGCAAAAAGTTTGCAAAAGCTGCCTGAAATACCCCTTGTTGAGTCCTTTATGCTAACTGTGAGGATGGATGACATTTATTCTAGTTCCTGTAGATCTGCTAAGTAAAAGTGGATTTGCCCTACCAATTTCAGCTTGGAGAGAGGGAAAGATCAGATTGTATATGGGGAGAGACCCAGATGACCCATGATTGATAGGTTGCTCTTAAAGGTACAAAAGTATTTGAATTGTTAGTAAGAGTGCTGATCTCTCTTGCTCTCTGTTGTTTGTGTGCAAGCTTCAGGAAAGAGTTTTTCTATTGGACCTTGCTGCAAGCTGTCTATCTTTTATGGTCAGACAACAAACCAGGCTGTTGCAGTTAAACTCCCTGAAAAACTGATCAAAGATGGCACAGAACATGCTGGGTGGATCCACTGCCAGTTCCATTGAATGAAGAAGTTGCATGAGATGATTATCAAGAACATTTTTATCAATCTAGTCTCTTCTGTATGCAAAATTAGAGTGACTAATGAAAACTGAAATCCTGAAGCAAACCTTTTGGCTTTCCCCTTCTGGAGCTGTTCTGATATGGATCAAAGTGTCCTTATATATATTTTAAAGGGCCGCCACTGATGTCCTTTAGTAGTATCTCCCTCACAGCTTTGGGAAAAGGAAAGGAAGTCATAATTTCTTTCTTTCCCAACTCCAAATTAAATTGGCCAACCCCAATAGGGTGATCAAAGGCAGAGGAAGCCAGCACTCCTCTCCCTTTATTGCACAGCAAATGGACTTTCCAGAAGTGAAGTTTTCTCACCATCACATGAGAAGATGCATGTGCTAGAATTCCCTCTCTGCCTAAAAAAGCCATAGCAGCCCTGATCTCCTGTGCAGCAGCAAGTCTTAACTCCAGCCTTACTGCAAGATAGTCTGGTCAAATGAAATAGTCCATGCAGGGCTTCAGTGGGGCAAGCTGATTCTGAATGGGTTTTAACAGCTGGCTGAAGTGCTAACAAATCTGCCAAGGAAATATGCAAAGATAGGTTGACTTTTAGAAATGAATCTTCCCGTAATTCATACTGTATCTTTCCTCAGCATTCTGTTTCAATCACCCAGCCCTGTGTGGAAGGCCAAATAGCTTTTTTCTTTGGCCTTGCTATTTTTTTAAAACATTACATTCGGATTTTAGATTGCTATTTTGCAGCTGGAGAGGTTTTGCACTTACCTTGTCCACTTGTATCTTCACTTAATGTGCCTCACTCATCAGTATTCTGAGTCTGGCATTTGAACATAAAATAATGTCCTTTCTATGGAAAGAAATTCCCATTTCCTTCCATCTCTTTTTATATTGTTTAACTCTGCACACAGTTCTGAAATCTCTTTATGCTTGGCACCGACTTAGTGCTCTGGGCTTATGGGGTTGCATCATGTTGAAAGCTGCCTTTATATTGAGAAGTTGTGACTGTGCATCTGGTCCCTGAGGATTTTCTGACCTCAGCTTCAGAGATGTGCAAAGCTGATTATATGATGATCAAAGACTAGCTTGTTTATTTGAGATGGAAGAAATACACCATACATGCTCCTCCACTCAGAAAGTCAGAGGAGAATAGACTTCTAATTTAAAACACGTGTTTACCAGGGTTGCTAAGGAGATCTCAAGAAGGAGATCTTGTCTACTTACCATAGCAAAGCAAAGCAAAGCAAAATCCTCTAAGCTGATCACATTTGAGCTGGTGGTGACTGACCAAGAAAGGGCTCTTGGGGTTATGGTGGACAGATTGATGAACGTGTTGAGCCAGTGCATGGTTTCTGTGAAAAGGTCAAACTCTGTGATAGGCCTAATTAGGAAAGGGACTGAAAACAAAACTTTGCATGTCATGCTACCCTTATACAAAGCTATGGTGCAACTACTGGAATATTGTGTACAGTCCTGATCACCACACCTAAAAAAAGAATATAGTAAAGTTGGAAAAAGTGCAAACAAGAGCAACTAAGATGATGAAGGGACTGAAGCAACTCCTCTCTGAGGAAGTAGCTTCCAAAAAGGTGCATAACGGGAGGCATGATAGAGATGGACAGAACTGTGCATGATGTGCAGAAATTGGCAGGGAGACATTTTTCTCTCTCTCCCATAACACTAGAACCCAGAGTCATCCTGTTATTATTCTTTATTTTGTGTGCATACCACCCAACAGTTTAGAAAAACAATATCCCATGAATTTGATTGGTGGGAGATTCAGGACAGATCGGAGGAAATGTTCGCACAGTGTGCCGTTAAACTATGGGATTCACTTCCATGAGGTGTGGTGGTTATTGCCAGCTGGGACCGCTTTAAAAGGGGATTGCACAAATACCTGGAGGAGAAGGCTCTCCATGGCTATATGCCCTCTCGGCACCTAATTGCTGGGGAGCTTGGAGGAAGGCTGCCATCACCTGCTTGTGAGGTGGTGTGGGCAGCTGGTTGCAATATGTGAACCAAATGCTGGAATAGATGGAACCTCTTATGTTCTTAGACAAGCTCCAACTCTGATGATTTTCTCAAGCAGGCGATAAAAATGTTTTTATCCTATCTGCCCTTGTGAGGCACTTAAGTACAATACTGACATCTTAACTCTCCATCTTCTCTGGCTTCTGAATGTCTTAAATTCTGATTAAGATTAGTTTTAGTGATTACATTGACTTTGACTCTATTGTATTAGTGTCTGGTGCCCACTCAGGGTTGTTGGTGCAAGAGGTTATGGGCACCAGAAGCTGGGCAATGGGGCCCCAGAGGCAAGGCAGTATTTTGACTCCCCACCAGCCAGAAGACAGGGGAAACTGGGGCACAAGGACTCTAAGACCATGAATACAAAGCAAGAAGGGGCTTCACACAGTCCCACAAAAACATCCCTTCAGACCCATGTTCTTCTGTTCTAGCAATAATAGTCATTGCAGAGAGAGTCAGGACCCCGAGGGCATGGAATGGGCTTCCACGGGAGGTGGCTGAGGCCCCATCAGAGCGGGTGTTCACGGACAGGTTGGACGTGCACATGGTGGGCATGTCATGAGCGGAGCCGGCTGGAGCTGGGGGTTAGACTAGATGGCCCGGGAGGCCCCTTCTGACTCACTCTGTTCCTATGTTTCTATGAATCAAGTGACTGTAAGATCATTCATGCAAAACTGGGGTGGTGTGGGGTTCACATTATCAGCATCACCACAAGAGTGACAATGGCAACAGCAGCAACACGGCCACAGGGATAAGCATTGTTTGGTACCAAATAGCAATTCAAAATCTATCCCGTGAAGGGTAGGAGGAGGTCACCCCTGAACTCCTGCTGCCCTCTAAAAAACTAAGGCAGCTGACTTTGGCTGCCTAAGGGTTGGTTTGCATGATGCAAGAAGACAGCTCTTACTTTGTGGGTCTGTTTTGTCATCTGGACCTGGGGCTGGCATTTTACCATTGTTGGTATGGAGACACCATAGAATCCCCTGGCAAAAATGGCCACAGAAGTGGTTGCTTCTAGTCAATGGTGTCTGTTGCCCTCAGCCCCCTAGCAATAGACACAGCATCGCCTGCCTTATTTCCATGGGCCTAGTGATGTGTCCCTCTCGCTGTTTGCTTTTGGAGACAGATAAATAGCATGAAAATACATAGAGGGAGAGGGGGAATTACAGTGCAAATGATTTCGGGCAAATCATCGTGGGATCCGGAGTGGCTGGGAAGCAACACAGATATTCAGGTACGCTCAGGAGGAGGAACAGGGAACCCATCCCTGGACTGCAGCAGATGGATCGGGAGGACGGCTGTCCATCAGCAAGAATGGGGAAAGAATGGGGATTTCACTTTTAGGGGCTGCTGAGAGGCATGGCAGGGCTGGAGGATGGAGTGGGAATGTGGAAACCTGGCTGCCTGGGTAACCAGGTAATCACCTGGCAGGTAAGTTTGGGCAAAAATCTGCACACTGTGGAAAGGCACAGGTTTGTTTCCCATGCAGAGTGAACCCAGCCTATGCACCTTGGAATGGGAGGGAAGGAGGCTGAAGCACTACTGGGCATCTTACCTCTTGGTGGCGCCAGCTTCCTCCTTTCCCTGCCCCCAAAGCCTGTCCCAAGGTCCCTCTTGCCGCCCTGGAGATGCAGTCTGTGTGGCTTTTGCTGCATTGCCTGCACGACTGGGGAGGGATGCCAGAATTCTCACCCCCAGCTATGAGGCTGGAGCCTGTTTCCAACCTTGCAGTGAGAGATCTGAGCAACAGGTGGTTGTCTGGATGCTGCCTGAGCAGCAGCCATAGGACTGCCCTACTGCTCATTTAACCAGGTGTTTCTTTACCTGGTCTATGTGTACTGGTGTGCTATTTTCTTGTTGCAGGTTTTTTAATTATTTGGGCTTTTTAACGTCCCTGTTAGTCACTCCAGTTGTTCCTAACATGTTAAAAGTTGATAGTGTGGAAAATATGGAACATCAACAATATAGAATATAGAAAGGACAATAAATAATAGTTTGTTTTCTGTTTTGCTTTTCACCCATCATTGACCTGTCTTTCAGATATTGTCATTTGGTTCACATCCGTTTCAGTGTTTAATTAATAGAAATCAATGCACACCGGAGCCTGAGACACTTCAGGGAAAAGGTCTCAAGGCCAACATTTTCCACACTATAATTGGCTTCTCCTTCAGAATTTGAAAGAGAGCAAACAAAGCATCACTGTTTGCTGAGAATGTAGAAAGCTCTTGAGTTATCTCACGGTAAGGACAGTTCTACTATCTTCACAAGAATGGGATGCTTCAGAAATGCTGAAAATGTGCTTGAGCAAAAGGAAAGCAAGTAAGTTCAAACGCATGGAGCACATTGACATTACCAACAGAACAGCTTTGCAGGAGGTCTGTACTATTGTGTTCCAGAATATGCATTAGTCACAAATACTACTTTAGAGTCAATTGTATATTTGTTCCTTTTTTCATTTTAAGATCACACCTTAAGTCTTAAAACAAACAACAGAAAGAACTGAATATTCAGATGCTTTGAGCCAAGATTTCATAGAATCATAGAATAGCAGAGTTGGAAGGGGCAATGAAGGCCATTGAGTCCAACCCCCTACTGTTGCAGGATACAAGTTTACACCATCCCACTCAGATGGCTGTCCAGTTTCACCTTGAATGTCTCCAGTGTGGGAGAGCCCAGCACCTCTCTAGGCAGCTGGTTCCACTGTTGTATTGCTCTGACAGTGAGGAAGCTTTTCCAGCCTGTCCAGCCTGAATCTGGTTTGTCGTAACTTGAATTGATTATTCCGTGTCCTACGCTCTGGCATCAGCAAGAAGAGATCTTGGCCTTCCTCTTTGTGACAGCCTTTGAGGTACTTATAGAGAGATAACATCTCCTCACTCAGTCTTCTCTTCTCAAGGCTGAACATGCCCAGTTCTCTCAGTGTCTCTTCATGGGGCAGTGTTTCCAAACCCTCAGTTTTGGTGCCTTCTTCTGGACCCTTTCTAATATACATGCATCAGTTTTGGTGCCCAGAACTGGACACAGTATTCCAGGTGAGGTCTGACTAAAGCGGAGTATAGAGGAATTAGTACTTCTCGTGATTTGGAAGTAATATTTCTGTTAATGCACCCCAAAATAGCATTTGCCCTTTTAGAGGCTGCATTGCATTGTTGGTTCATGTTTAGCCTATTGCCCAAAATTTGCAAATTAGCATATGTTGTACCTTTGCTTATGAATTTCGTAACTATGTTTATGAATTGTGAACTGTCCAGATAGCTGCAGCTATTGGGTGGTATAGGAAAGAAACTAATAATAATCTATCAGTCAGTCTAGCTAATCAATATGCAATGCCACCAAGAATTAATTGTTGAGGAGGCTTGTTCTAGGCAGTTGCTTTGACACTTTCCAAACTGCTTGCCTGATGCAGAAGCAGTGTCTGCTATGCTTCATTGATTGCATGCATCTTAATGTAGTCCAAATAGCACCATCTCTGCAGGAGGAGACGGTATCAGCAAGTTTGGGATATTACACCTGTCCTGAAAGACCCGCATTGGTTGTCGATTGCTTTCTGGGCTCACTTCAATGTGGCGCTTTTTTACTCTTTTTTACCCTAAAGAGCTCAGCACCTGGCTATCTAAGGGACTGTCTGTCATGCTATACCTGAGAATTAAGCACTGCAAGAGAGGATTTTGTGAGAGCACCATGACCTGCAGAGGCAGGTATGAAAGGGCTATCTTCTTCTATGCCCCCAAAGGATGGAATTTGTTCCCTCAGGAACTCTGGTTGTCCTCCTCCTCACTTGGCATTTAAAAAGTGCCTGAAGACCATTGGTTTTAGTTGGACCTTGCAAAATGAGTAGTTACTGTTTCAAATTTCATTTTATAGTTACTGTACTTAGGTTTAATTTTTATTTATTAAAACATTTATTAAAACATTTATATGCTGTCCTTAATGTTTTAATGCCATTTTAGCAAACAAGGCAGTACATAATTATTACTCAATAATTACATAAATGAATAGGTGGACCTGAATGTTTGCAGGACAACAAATCTTTAGAAATCCTTAGGCATAAGCGCTGAAGGGGCAACCAAACTAGCATGTTCCGAATGGCACTGAGTATGCTCAGCGAGCATCAGTCCTTGTTGACCCTTGGGGAGATGGGAAACAAGATGGGACCATGGGATGGGGCCTTGGGAGCTGGTCTCTCCCTCTCACTTTTCTTCTCCAGCAGACCCAGATGAAACTTTAGAAGCACAGTCTTTTTAATTAATGCTTAACAGTTTACAGAACAGTATTAATCAACCCATCTTTCTCTTTGAGATGTGGGAGAACCATTGGTCCAAGTGAAGAGATGAATTGAAAATGAAACTTCTTGTCCTTTCCTCCCTTGCAGAAAAATTTTGGACTCCACTCTCTTGCTGCTTGAGGGCTACACAGCAGGAACATCAGACACTTCATAACTGATCTGCTGCAGCCTGACTGGGTCAAAGATCTGGGAGCCCGTGTTGTGTCATGGTTAAAAGCACAGGACTGGGACTCAGGAGATCTGGGTTCTAGTCCCCACTCATCCATGGAACCAAGTGGGTGACTTGGGATCAGTCATAGATATTCAGTCCAACCTACCTCACAGGGTTGTTGTTGTAAGGCTGAGATTGAGAGAAGGAGAATGTTGGAAGCCACTTTGAGTTCCTAAAAAAAACCCCAACAGGTGGGCTATAAATCAAATAAAGAAATAAAGAACTCTATTGCTTCCACCCCAGCTCTGAAAGGTCTCTGTCCTTTTTCAAGATGGGCTGGTTCCCACATTCTGCCAGAGATTCTTCACTACATAACCATGAAACTGCCAAGCCACCTGCCCAACTCTGTCTATCCACCTCCTCCCCTGAAGCAGCCAAATCCACTTAAGACTGTAGCATGTGAGAGCTGGGCCCTCCCTCTGCACTAGTATTTCACTGTTTTGAGTAATTTGGCTACCTGCTTTTGCTCTTATGGAAAATTAAGAAAGGGACATAAATAATTCTCAGGATCTAAGTAGAGCCTGAAACTGGAGGGCAGGACCCCTATTTTTCTCTGAGCCCCAATAGTGTCTCAGTGATGCCAATGGGAAACAGGACATTGGTGACCGAATTCGTGCTCACAGGACTGACCGACCTCCCAGAGCTGCAGCTCATACTCTTCATGATGTTCTTTGCTGTTTACATCTTCACCCTGGTGGGGAATCTGGGCGTGATTGCCTTAATCAACGCCAGCCCTCAGCTCCACACCCCGATGTACTTCTTCCTTAGCAACTTGTCTTTCTTGGACATCTGTTATTCCTCATCCGTCACCCCAAAGTTCCTCACTGATCTCTTCCACAAGAAGAAGGTAATTTCTTTTGCTCATTGTTTCACTCAGTTTTATTTTTACGCCATGTTTGCCACCACGGAGTGCTACCTTCTGGCCGTGATGGCCTATGACCGCTACGCAGCTATCTGCAACCCTCTGGTGTACTTCGCCAACATGTCGGAAAGAAAGCGTGTGCAGCTGATAGCAGTTTCCTATGGTGCTGGGATTGTCAATGCCTTGGTGCACACAGTTGCAGCCTCTAGGCTACACTTCTGTGGTCCAAATGTCATTAGGAATTTTTACTGTGAAGTTCCTCCTATATTGGAACTGGCCTGCTCAGACATCCATCTCAATGATACGTTGATCTTCATATTTGTTGGGTTCAATGTGATATCAACCAGCCTGACCATTCTCACCTCCTACAGCTACATCCTGGTCACGGTTTTAAAGTTCCGCTGTGCCAAGAGCCGCCAGAAAGCCCTCTCCACTTGCGTGTCCCACCTCGTGGTCGTCTCCATTTTTTATGGGTGTGGTAGCTTCATATACGCACGGCCCAGCAATAGACAGAATCAGGCCCAAGACAAAGTGGCCTCGGTGTTCTATGTAATGGTGACTCCCATGCTGAATCCCTTGATCTACAGCCTACGGAACCAGGAAGTCAGGAAGGCCTTAAGAAAAATTATGGATAGGAAAGCTGCTTTCTTTTTTAAAAACTGAATTGAAGATTTAACATTCATTTGATACATCACCATTTTGGAAAGAAATAACTGTAAGAACCAATATGAACTTAAATCCTGTTATATTCAGTTTCTCCAGGGTGTTATGCTATATAAAACCTCTAAATGGGGGCCAGTCTTGCTTACAGGGAACTGGGTATTACAGGGCTATAGTCATGGCCAGACATATTGTACTGCAGATCTGGAAAGCCACTAAATCTGCTGATCTAGATCAGGGAGTGAAATTGCTTTTGGGGCTTCCTGGCCATGGATGAATGGTTTACATCAAGAGTCTGTGTATGAATGCATTTTGGGGGCTATGGAGATATGAATTTTAAAATATCAGGCAGAACTTTTTACAACTCTATGGGTACTCAGGAATAAACAATGCATCCTTCCCCTTGCCTTGCCACCCCTTGGCCCTATCAACACTGCACTCTGTTTAAGTTTAACCCTTCCCTTCCCTTCCCAAATCATCTCCCCGCTCTTCCTTCCTCCATTTTTGAGTTTCTTTAAAAAGTACATTATAAAAAATAGGTACATTAAGAGCTGTGAAGGTGACAACTGCAAAAGGTTTAATATGTAAGGCCTGTCAGTTAATAGAAGTCAGTGACCTGAAGGCCAGTGTATGGGAGGGAACTCTTGGAAAAGGGAGGGGCATTTCTTTTACACTTAAAAATGTCTGAGAAAAACTGTCAATAAAAGATACATAACAATACAAGATGGAGCATTTTCAAAACCTGTATAACATTCCATGACCTGAGTGGAGTCCCGCAAGGGAAGAGCCTTTACTGCTGTGGCCCCATTTCTGTGGAACACACAGCCTCTGGAGGTCAAGCAGGCACCAGCACTGCACTGTCCCAGGAAGCCTTTCTTGCTGCTAGAAATGCTTCTTATGTTGTCTTGTTTCTAATGTATTTTTAAATGTGTTTGCTTGTTTCAGCTTCAGGTTGTTTATCTTCCATATCTAGGAATATATGGAATGGTATGCAAATATACCAAATACATAAACATAAATAAGAGACAAACATCAGTGCATCCACACATGAGCTTCATATAGATGGGTATGTTGGATGGAGGGCCTGGATGTAGGGCAGCATAGGGCTACCGATATCGCTAAGCGGAAAGTAACTCATACTGGGAGAAAGTTTTTATATTTATCAACATCCTAGTCCTCCCAGTGTTTGCAGTGTGTGCCCTCTTTTTTGGCAATCAGATGTGGCCACACTACTCAGCTCCTGATTTCTGGGCCTTGTTCCATTTCAGTTGTTTCCCCAGTGATGGGGCTTTAAAGTTTTCATCTTCTTAACCAAGTCCTAATTAGCCCTTAAGGAACTTGTTTATAAGAAAGGGAAATAAAAACTTATTAACTTATTAAGTCTCTTGTCAACTTCTGCATTTAAGTAGGCACAAGGCAGATTGTTAAACTGGAAATCCTCAGCCTTAAGGCATCCAGAATGCTTTCTTTCCATTTTTCCTTTTTGCCATGGAAAAAGAATGCCATGTTAGTGACTGTATTACGAACTCCTCTTGTACTAGTGAATCAAATAACTTCATTGCAAGATTGTATAGCAGAAAAAGACAGGGGTAATGCATGTACCAAGGGGCAGCATTTCATATAGTTCCGTCTGGGTTCTTGAAGTCACAATGTTCTTGCACAGATGCTAGAAATACTGTACAATGTTTTCTTTCTCAGAAGTCATAAAAGAGAGTCATTTCTGGCACTTCCTGGACTCTCATAAACAGGTTTTTCAGGATTTCAGAACCTGCAACAGCTGTTTGCTCACAGGTGGCACTGGACAAAAGTTAAGTGTGTAGACCACACTGCTTTTGTCATTTCATCCTCAAGCATTGTCTGTTTCCCACTTGGCTGGTATGTTTGCCTCCATCCTCATGGCACACTCTGTAGCATAGGCATATAATTACCTTCAATATTTGTGCCACAAGGACAGGCTCCCAGGCCATTGGACAGGCTGGGTAAACTGGAGTTCAGGGGTGCCCTAACGACCCGGGCTAGCCAGTGTGGATAAGAAAAGAACAGAGGATGAATAAAGAATTCCGGGATCATTTAAAGAGCTTAGGGGAAATGGCAAGGTGGCCCCAGAGACGGGGGCCCAATTGAGGAGGGGCAGTTAGCGGAGAGGAGACCTGCGCACCTCTGGAGAGCCCCTGCCAAAGGGACTGGGGCCAGGACATGTTCGTAAGGAGAGTTCTGGGAGGTAAACACCTGAGTGAGTATTCCGCGCATGCTCCAAGATCCGTTCTGGGTGATCTGTACTTTCAAACACTAAAGAACATTTTGAAAGGAAAAATGGCCTGTGGCTGGTGACTGTTCGAAAGAAGACCCTCAGCTCCTGACACAGACACTTCCTTGTCTTTACACAGCAATGTATCACGAGCTCCACCATGTATGCAGCTCAAGGGTCAGCATGCCTCTTACTGTGCATTGATCCACATGGATAGCAAACAGTTGCTCCCCCAAGAGGTTAAGAATGTAGTTATTCCACAAATGTCCTGAAAAAGAACAAAACCAAGCGATACGGAGCAAGATCGGGTATTCAACGTGCACAAGCAAAGATCAAGAGCTGAGGTTAGACCTTACAGTTGTGCTGGCAGGGAGATGAGAAAGATTTTCCTGGGCATTTCTCTGGGCATTTCCATCAGCCAAGGTCTGGTCCCATGTACACAAGAATAGCAACACTGGGAACACCCCAGGAACAGGGGGTAGGAGATGGCCAGTGCCAGGGGATGCCAACATCACCCATAGTTGGGCTTTGTGTGTGAAGACCAGGACTAGTAGACCCCACACAACCGCTTCCCCTGTGGGATGAGAAAAGCGGCCCACTGCTCCTCTCTGGTCAAGAAAGAGTCCTGATCAGCAGATCACTGGGCAAAGGCACATCTGCCTGTGAACCAGCTGTGCCTATGCAGTCGTCAATGACCAGGTTATGCAGCCTAGAGTCAGATATGTAAATAGAAATTTCTGTAATATACTTAATTCGATAGGATGCGATACAGGATGTACTAAGGAAACATTAGCACTTTCAGTACCATTGACCATGGCAGCTTTCTGGGGCGACTGAGCTGGGAATGAGGGGCGCCGCGTTGCAGTGGTTCCACTCTTCCTCGGATGCAAGGCTCCAGAAGGTGGTACTTGGGGGACTTCACTCTGCCCCTTGGATTCTCCAGAATGGGATGCTCCAGGGGTCGGGCTTCCCCCCCATGCTGTTTAACACCTACATGAAACCACTGAGTGAGGTCACCTGGAGTTTTGGAGTGCGTTGCCATCAATATGCTGAGAACAAGCAGCTCTCCCTCCCCTTTCTTCTTCAGCAGGTGAGGCTGTGGGTGTGCTGGATCAGTGCCTGGCTGCAGCAACAGACCGGATGAGTGCTAACAAGCTGAAGCTCGATGCAGACAAGGCTGAGATGCTGTTAATGGGTGGCGCTTCTGGCCACCTGTTCCACCTGTTCCAGATGCAGTTGTGCTTCCTTTGAAAGAGCCACTTTGTAGTCCAGGGTGCTCCTCGAGCCATCCTTGTCACTTGGGACTCAGGTGGCTCCAGTGACTTGGGGCCCCTTCCGCCAGCTGCAGTGTTGTTGTAAATACTATGATTATTATTTTCTATATCACCACTTAGCCATAAAAGGCTCTGAGGGTGGTTTTCCAAATACGTTAACACAATATACAAAATACAGTAAAATATAATGTAAAACAAAGGACAAGAGTTCAAAATAAAACAAAAACAGATCTGTTGCATGAGGCAATAACCACACCAGTTTACAGAATTTATAAAATTTCTAAAGCAAGAACTGCAATACAAAGAATTTAAGTAAGACCATTCATGATCATCACGTAGCCTACAACTCCAAGCTAGCCAACCAACTGGCCAATGGCCAGAGCTTCAGGCCCAACCAGGCCCCAGCCAGGCTTCAAGAGGGCACCAATGGGCGGTGGCACCTTCGGCTGCTGCCCCGGGCCTCTGCCCAGGACGGAAGGTCTCTGGGGAAATCAGCCAGTGTGGTGGGAGGGGCTGCCTTGGAGTAGCCAGCTGCAAGTGGCCACAGCTGGCACGCCACTGCTAGGACGCCTTGCCCTCGTGCTTTGCTGCTCTCCTCTCTCTCTCCCAGCCCTCCGCCAGGTCAGGCCCTTCCAGGGACTGACCGGGAGGTGCATCTTGATGGTCCACAGGGTGAGGGTCCCTCTGGCCAGCTGAACAGGCCACAGCTACAACCCTATCTGGGCAGAGGTAGCCTGCCATCAGTTGCCTATGCTCCGAGAAGCTCTTGGATAGACTACTGCCATGCGCTCTATATGGGGCTGTCCTTGCAGTCTGTTCAGAAGCCGCAGCTTGTCAGAAACAGGGCAGCCAGACTAATAAGAGGGATCAGAGGTTCTGGGCATGTAACGCCAGTTCTGGCCTGCTTGCACTGGCTGCATGTATCCTTCTGCGCCAATTAAAATTTCTAGCTTTAACCTAGAAAGCTCTACAGTGCTCGGGACTACGATACCAGACAGAATCCCTCTCCCGGCCTCCTTCTGCTCAGACACTATGATCAAGTCCTGGGGTATATGTCCAAGTGCCACCTTCAAGGGAGGCATGGTTGGTGGCAAAAGCAGGAGGGTCTTGTCTGTTGTAGCCCCCCAGTTATGGAACAAGCTCCCCACTGAAGTCCACCAGGCATCAGTTTTACAATCCTCTTGGGACCAGGCACCATCCTTGTCAGCAGGGCAGTTAAGTAGCTTTCAGGGCCTGCTAGTTGCTTCAGGTTTAAATATTCTCCTCCTTCTTTGTTATTATTTTGTATCTATTATAACCTTTTAATGTGTGCTTTTAAATGATGTATTGTAAACTTTTAATCCAGCTTTCATATGTTTTCTTTTATATAATGTATCATTTATTGGTTTTTAAATGTAATTTGTGACAGACCCAGATAGCTTTGGTTGTTGGGCAGGAAGGAAACAAAATGAGAGGAGAGGAAAGGAGAGGAGAGAAGAAGAAATAAAATCTTAATAAGTCATAGAAGCCACCATTTCCTTTCTAAGCAGCCTTGCACCCTGCTCCTTAGAGAGAGTGCACACGGAAGGAACACACAGAAGCCATGACCTGACAATGGGGAATGCGGCTCAAAATGGCGTGTGGGGCAGAGGATGCAGGGCTGCCCTCGGTGCTGGCTATGATGGCATCCAGGTGAGGTGGCAAGCCGAGTGCTCCCTCCCGCTGCTCCTCCTGAACAAAAATGACTTGGACCAGGGCTTGGAAGGGTGCGGACTTCCATGGGAGTAAATGCAAGGCTATGGTGGAGGCTGGGCCCTCTTTGCCCTGTCCGGACGAGTAGAAAGCACCAGGGCATGCTGGGCATAGGCGCTGCAAAGCACAGCCAATTCTCTGGGACAGAGATGATACTCTGAGGACTTCTTCTGAAGGATGGAGATGCCTCATCGTACTCACCTGAGGAAGTGTTGCCAGCCTATGGGGAAGTCACCACCAGCCCTTGTTTCTGATTCATCCGGTGGGCCGTGGAGATTTCAGCAAAGAGCTCTCTGAGAGATGAAGCACAGTAAGCAGAAGACGCACAGGCCTGCAAGCCGTTTTCCTCCTGAGGTAGGATTCTCGTCAGTGGAAAGAGCTACTCAGATCGGATAGGAAACACGAATACAGTGTTTGTAACCATTTGGGATGTGAGTCTTCTTCCCAAAAATGTTCATCAGTTACACTTCAAAGGCCCTTGAAGAAACACAAACCCCTTTCTGCAGGCTGAGGAAAATCAATTGACCCAGCGGACATGGCCAATATTCCAGGCGGGTTCCTGATAAAAGAAGAAATTCAGGGCTGCAAATGTAGGCTGAAGTGGACAGAAGGTGAGTGCATGTGTGTTTAGGGAGTTTGTTCAGTCTGGATTCTAACACATCCAAAAATCACAATGAATGTAACATGCCCACTCTTACAATTGATTAAAAAGGTCAAATTTTCTTCCATAAAAAAGAGGAAACAAAGATCACACCAACCTCCTCTTTTTCTTTGCTAATATTTCTGGAAAGAAATTTTGAGCATAAAAATTAGTTCCATGGGTGAAAAATGCAGTTTTTACATAAAAATCCCCTGTTCCTGAACCTTCCTGAATCCTAACTTTAGATTAAGTGAAAGTTTGCAATCAGGTGTGAGGGATGTGTGTGGAAGATGAACTGGAATTAAATATGCTGAGCATAAAATCACCTAAGTGCATTGTCAGAAGAGGTAGGACCCTTTGGAGGGTGCTTCAGAGAACATGGAATTTATACAGGTCTCCCCCTCTGAAGGTGGAGAGGTCGTTCCACTCTTGGAGCGAAAGGTCCACAACTTTGGTCAAAATTACTATAATGTTTCTTTTCTTTTTTTTCGTGTAAAGCCATCATAGACGGGTTACTGCTTTCTGGCAGCTAAATCTTTATCCAGACTCCATTTCTCCCCTCCATTCTCCTCCTGTGTATTTCCGCCAGAGAAAAAATAGACGGTGGAAATGAACAGCAGCACCGTGAAGGAGTTCATCCTCTCTGGATTCACCGATTGTCCCGAGCCGGCCGCTCCCCTCTTCGCGGTGTTTCTGGTGAACTACCTCTTGACCACTGTGGGGAATTTGGGGATGCTTGTGCTCATCAGGGCTGATGCTCGACTTCAGACTCCCATGTACTTCTTCCTTAGCAACTTGTCCTTCCTGGACATCTGCTGCTCCACCACCATCAGCCCAAGGCTGCTAAGAGACCTCTTAGCTGAAAGGAGAGTCGTTACTTTTACCGCGTGCCTGACTCAGTTCTACTTCTGTGCTGCTTTTGCCCGCACTGAGTGCTACCTCCTGGCGGCGATGTCCTATGATCGGTACATGGCCGTCTGCAATCCACTGATCTAGGCTACTGTCATGTCCCCGAAGGCTTGTGCTTGGCTGGTGGCTGGTTCATACCTGACTGGCTTCGTCAATTCCCTGATACACCTGGGTTGCCTCACTTATTTGGCTTTCTGTGGCCCAAATGGAATTGACCATTTTTATTGCGAAGCTTCCCCGCTCTTGCAGCTTTCCTGTTCTGACACCAGTCTCAATGAGTATGTCATGTTTGTATTTGTCAGTTTTAATCTGATAACCACCCAGGTGACTATCCTGATCTCTTACTCTTACATATTTTTCACTATTGTGAGAATCCGCTCAGCCGAGGGCAGGCACAAAGCCTTCTCCACCTGCTCATCTCACCTGGTGGCTGTTATAATCCTTTATGGAAGTTTGACCTTCATGCATCTTCAGCCAAATGCATCAACAAATGGAGGGAAGGTGGCCTCCATGCTCTATGCTGTGGTGATCCTCATGCTAAAGCCGCTGATCTACAGCTCGAGGAACAAAATGGTGAAGTGTGCCTTGAAGCGGATGCTGGAGAAGTTCATGGTAAATCCTTAGTACATTGAGACAGGAGCTTCCCTAGATGCTTATACTGCTTCTTGAATATTCAGGAAGCTTTCTCTGGCATGCACAATGGTATGTGTAAATAAAGCCACCTTGATGTCCGGATCTAGCCTTCCTGGTTCCACCAGTAGCCATGCCTTCTCCTCTTGCTTGCAGCCCTTCCATTTTCTCCCACACATTTGGTGGTTTCCAAGCATTTGTGCAGCCCAGTTTAAACAGTTTAAATGCTTATCTCAAGACCTAATTTCTTGCAGTAGGAAAGCTGCTAAAATGAGTTGGCATTTTACTGAAACTCAGTCTTCACACACACATTTGCACATACCAAGGTTAAAAAAGTTCTTTTCTTCTTTAAAAAAACCATCAGGGGAAAATATTGACGGCAAGTTCTTACTGGAGGTAAAATGCAGACCTGGGATCAGCTTCATACTATGCATTTCACTTATACAGGAGTGCCCTCTTGTGCGCATACACTTGTGGGATCCACCATTCATTCCACTGAGTTCTGGCTTTTCTAAAGATAACCAAAAATAAATGGAAAGCTTCATTTCTGGAACTGAGCATGTCCACAAAGCTTGTGGAAGGGAACTCCACAGATTTATCCTGTTCTGGACACTTGCAGTGTGTTTGTTCACAGGGCTATTTGTAGATGTGTCAAAGCTTCACTGCACAAGCAGCTGGACCCACAAGTGCAGTGGGATCCAAGGAGGTGGAGCAGCCCTGCTGATGACTGTCCAATGACCCTGAATCCTTCCAGTTGCAGACAACAGGCCATGATTTTGCATCACTTCCAGCAGCCTCCATCCTGTGCTTGAGGAAATTTATTTATTTATTTATTTTTCGATTTCTATCCTGCCTTTTTCCTACAAAGGGCTCAAGGCATCTTACATCATTCTCCTCCTCCATCTTATCCCCACAACAAGAGCCCTGTGAGGCAGGTTGGGCTGAGAGTCTGTGACTGGCCCAAAGTCACCCAGTTGGCTCCATGGCCGAGCGGGGACTAGAACCCAGATCGTCTGAGTCCCAGTTCCATGCTCTTAACCACTATGCCACTCTGGCTCTCAGAAGACGAAGTCAGCTGGAAACCATGCACGTGGAATCCTTTGCAATCCTAACTTTTATTGTACTTGTGCACTGCTGTATCATATTTCTCAGTATATCTATTTTTTCCAGCACATTCCCTTACTAAATTGTCATTTTCTTACAATCCTTGTTTGCACTGCTGTCATGGAATATAAGCCAGCTTGAGGGGGCCTATAAACCAGACCTGTTACCCATAGCTTGTCATAGAGATTTTATAACTCACCATGGCTTAACACATTATTCAAACTTCGATGAAGACTAAACCAAAGTCAACCAAGAAGGTAAGAAAGTTTTGCAACCCTGGCCAAGGGGCTCTAGCTGGCACAAGGCGCTGTAATGAGATGAAGATTCATGCTGGGACTGTGCTTCCCCGGTCGAACCAACTAGGGTCAGTCCCACTGCTCTTCTGCATCCCCTGTGGAAGCCCTGCAGCCTCAGGGACCCAGCATGGCCTCATTGCCCTCACTGCTTGTTTAGTCAGATTTTTTTCCCTAGGCTTATGACAAACAGGACTGTGCAGCTTAAAAAAAGGGGAGACATGCTAGAGGTGTTTGAAATATGCCTGGTGTGCAGTAAGTGGAGGGAGAGATATTTTTCTCCTTCTCCTACAACACTCAAACCTGGGTCATCCCATGAAGCTGATTGAAGGGAGCTTTAGGACAGATGAAAGGAAGGACATCTTTGCACAGCTTATAGTAACACTATGGGATCCACTGCTATGGAAAGTGGTGATGGCAGCAAATCTGAATGGCTTTAAAAAGGGATTGGACAGATTAATGAGGGAGGAGGTAGTCACTGGTTACTAGCCTTGCTGGCCATGTGCACCGGAGATGGCCTGCCTGCACGCTCCAGTTGCTGAGGAGCTTGGCAGGAGGAGGTCTTGCACCCATCCTGCTTGAGGGATCCTGTGGGCAGCTGGTTTGCCACTGTTTGTATGGAGTTCTGCAGGAGAAGAAACTTTGGTCTGATCCAGCATAGCTTTCCTTATGTTCTTAGGGTAGTGAAATGCTCTCATATTTGAGTTTCCTGCAAACTGTCATGATGGCAACCAGCTTTGCACGTTGGATTTTGTGGGTGCTGATGTATATAATGATGCTGCAGTGTGAACAGAGTTATGGATGTATACTGAAAAACTTCCATGAGGTTTGCTTGGAGAAGAACTGCCTACTGCATCTGTGGCAGTGTGTGATGCCCAGCCAAGGGGACTAAAGAAGGCTGCAGGCTCAGTGCCCCCCAAGCACAGGAGCTGGCCCTTTAAAAAATGTTTCTAGCCCTTATGGTTGCAAAGAAAGACCGTAGAAGGAAGGCACCGGGAGAGGCATGTCTGGAAGAAGCCTAGTGAAATCTCAAAAGCAAGGGGAGGAAAAGCTTTGTAGGTTTTCTAGTGGGGGCTGGAACTTAAGTGCTTTGTATGCTTGGTTCCTTTCCATTCTCAGTGACTGTAAGAATCAGAATAAATTATACAAAATAGTTGTGAAATAGGCAGACTTAAAGGGCATCATATTGAAATATCATTTCAACAGAATGCAGAATCCTGGTACAGTTTTCTTGATATTGGAACTGGGACATTTTGGAAGAGGATTTTGGTCCTTTGAGGGCACCGAAAGTATGCACACATGGGAAGTGAAATCATCAGGTGAGCTTGCAACAAGACACAGTGATGTGTCACCCAATTATGCAGTCAGACTCCACTGGCTTCATGTGTGCTAATGAAGGTGAGTATCTGACAGCACACATTGTGCCAGACATCACACATACGAAAGGCTGCAAACGCTGGCGTGTTCTTGGCATGCATGGAAGATTTAGGGTGGCCATGTATCTTCTATTCAAAGGACTGTCCTCTATTTGGAAGGCATATTGTATTTCCAGAGCTGTTAAGTCCAAGACTGATTTAAAGCTGAAGAACCATCCTCACCTGAACAGCAGACAGGACGGACATACAGCCCCCCTGCTGAAGTACACAGTGAGATTCGCTCTATTGAAATGATTGTAATTATTTCTAAGTTTTCAGCAACACATGCACATTTTATACGAAGAGTCATCTTGTTTTCTCCTCCAGTTTGCAGTGTGTGCCCTCTTTTTTGGCAATTCAGATGTGGTCACCCTACTCAATCCCCCAATTTCCAGGCCTGGCTCCATTTCAATCGTTTCCCCAGTGTTGAGGCTTGAAAGTTTTCATCTTCTTAACCAAGTCCTAATTACCCCTTATGGAACTTGTTTATGAGAAAAGAAAATCAAACTTTATTGCCAAGTTAGTCTCATGTCACCATTTCATTTAACTAGGCCCAAGGCAGATTGTTAAACTGGCAATTATCAGCCTCAGCTATCCTAGAAAGCTTTCCTTCTCCCCACCACCCCCTCCTTTTCTTTGGCATGGCAAAAAATGCCACAGTAGAGACATGAGTTATTATAGTTCCCCTGCGGTTGTGCATTGAATAATTTCACTGCAGCCTTTAGTATTCAGGAAGAGACTGAGGTCATGAAGATCAAGAGGCAGCACTTCACATAGTTCAGTGTGACCTCCACAGAGTTTCTGAAAGTGCAGGTTAAAGAGAGGCTAAGATGCTTTCTTTTGGTGGGAAAGGAGAGGCATCCCTGCCATCTCTTGGCCTCTGGTGAATGAGGTTTTCAGGATCAGGATTTCAGAATCTGCAGCAGCTGTTTGCTCACAGGTGGCACTGGACAAAATTTTTTTTTAAAGTGTGTAGAATACACGGCTTTTGTCACTTCATCTTCAAGCATTGTCAGTTTCCAGCCTGACTGCTATGCTTGCTTCCATGCTCAAAGCCACTCTGTGCGTATAATGCACATCAATATCAGTGCCACAAGGCATTGGACAACTGGGTAAACTGGAGTTCAGGAGGAGGACCCCAGCAACCCGGGCTAGCCAGTGTGGATGAGAAATGAACAAATGTTGAATAAAGAATGCCAGGATCATTTAAAGAGCTTAGGGGAAATGCCCCTGCAAGGATGGCCGCAGCTGCCCTGAGTCCCTAAGAGGTGGGGGAAAGTAGCACCAACATTTCCCTATCAATAGCAGCCAGCAAACACAAGCTAAGAGCTCACCTTTTCACCCATAGCAAGCAGACATGGTCACGTAGTGGAATCAAGAGCAATCAAGCATCCTTCAAGCCAATAGCATAAGTCTGAGAATCAATGGGAATCTTCCCATCCTCAAAGAAGCAAGTCCCAGAAAAAGAGTATAAGAACAGGGACTCAGAAAATGGAAGTAGGCAAGCTCACCTGGCAACCCAGCCTGGAACAGCGGAAGCTTGCAACCTTCCTGCCTATGCACAGGACTTCCATCCAGAGTTTACTGTGCAGAACAACCAACCAACAGCAAGCAGACTTGGACTTCCTCTCTCTTTCTGTTATCTTCTCTCTGTCTATAAGGCTATTATGCAAGAGGCTCTTCAACTCTATAGAAATACAGAGTATGATTGGGATGCAGGAGGAATGTCTGCTGCCAAGACAACATCATGTTAAAACCTTGTACTTGCTCTATATTTTCTTCTGAATAAACATTCCTTTGCTTTCCAAATGTTGCGTGTGTCTGTGTGAATGTAAAGCTGGGGCACATTCCACCCTGGCAGCACATGATAAACCCCAGTAAAGGATACCACCTCTAGAGGGCAAGCACCTTCTTTTGAGGTGCATTCCCCCCTGAGATTAGCTGGCTTGACAACTCACGGTGCCCACAGGCTGCCATCACTGCCATTTCACAGGAAAGTAAAGAGGATGGATGTAATTTTAAGAGAGGATTTACAGCAGTGCTTGAATTACAGGGCCTAGTAAGGCTCCCCCTGCCTTACTTGAGGGGAAGCCACAAGTGGGGAGGCACGAATGGACTAAACTGCATGGGGCTTGTGGCACGCCTACAATTTCCCCTGATAATTCACGTGCAGACTGACAGCTTAGTCCCAGTCACGATGAGAGCCCCACTTCCTTCTGCTTCACCTTCTGAATGACTGGCAGGCACTCCAACACATGGGATGCTGATTTAACCTTTTTTTTTTTTTTTTAAGAGTGTTTTTTTCTCCTCCTGGAGTATGAGCGGCATCTCAAGCCAGGAAGCCTGCTTTCTGGCCCTGCACCTTGCAGACAATAGATCATGCCTGCGTCCAGTTCTTTGCAGCAGTTGGCCGGGAGAATCAATGCCTGCGTGCCCCCAGCTGAGCGTGTGCTGCCATGCACACTGGCTCTGTCGTACAACTGTCTGCTGCGAAGAAGTCCACACTTGCGCACCTGTATACAGAAGGGCACGTGTGACATCTGGAACCCCAATCGCACCTGGTGCCAGGTCACATGGGGACCTTAAAACGCACCACTATAGACATTTGTGTCACCCCTGTGGCAGGGGGCTCAGCCAACATGCGTAATGTGGGGCTAGTTATGTGGGGTGAATCTCTGAACAGGAGTTTTTGCTTTCTGAGTTGAAGGGTTTTATTGTGCATGAAAAAATATACAAGTCTGGCTTCACTTACATTACTGACATGTTTGCATCAGTCCACCAAATGAAATGAAATGAAATCAAGGGCCCTGATCTCTATCCAGAGGGGTTGTTGTGTTGTGCTGCTGTAGCAAAAATGAGTACAATATCACCTGTTAAAAATAACAGACTTATTGTTGCATATACTTTCATCTAGGAAGCCGGGGACAACTGCGTGATTGTTCCCTGGGTTCTGTGAGGCACCCATTTGATTCCTGGGCTTGGTTCCCTAGACTTGGGGCTGGTGAACACACGGAGCAGTCATGAGGCACTTGCCAGGATCTGAGCCCCACACACTCTTCTGGTTCACACACAGTAGCCCAAATGGCTGCCACAACTGGTGCAGGAGAGGGATGGTGCTTGTGATCGCCAGCAGCATCCCTCTTCCTGGCAACAGGCAGCACTGCCTGGGCCGCTGCACGTGGCGCGGAAGAAGGGTGGTGCTGGGGTCTTGCCAGGAAGGGAGCCTGCAAGAATGCTGGGCAAGCAGCCTCCCGCTCCTGCTCCCTGGGCAGTGGCCTTTGTGCTGCAGCACCAGATGTGCAAGAAGGTTGCCAGGTGCACAGTCTTTGCTCTGCAAGCATTCGTGGACTTCCTCTTGCTTTGCACGACCAGGCTGAGCATGACAAGGAGTCCACAAATGCTAGAGGGCTGGATTCCACTGGGTTTTCTGAAGCTGAACTGTTCCCTCATGTGTCTTCTCTATGTGGGAATGGCAACACAGGCAAAATTGATGCATGCTGGGTTTTTAAACTTCAAGGTAGACTTCACCAGGATGGAATGGATGTGCCTGGAAGGGGACATAAGCTGCGAGACAATAAGGAAGAGGCTGAATCTATACCTAAACTCCTTTCATCCAGATGTCACCATGGTGGTGCTCTACCCACATCCCACATTCCTCACTCCTAGCATGCGTGCCAAGACCAGTTGTGGAATGGCAGTTTTCATGCCATTTCCCCATGTCAAATGAATACTTCCTAGCAATATTTGTGGGGAATGGAGGAACATGGGCACCACTCAAGTTTCTTTAAGCCTCATATGGTATCGAAACATCTCAATGAAAAAAGTCAGTTCTTCTGAACCCTCCAAGAATGTGCAAGAACAGAGGGAAAGGGAGAGAAATAAGTGGGAGGTGGAAGCATTTGAGCTGAGAAAGGCATGAAAAACTCACTAACCAAGACTTACTTTCTAAAGAATTATTTTAGGTAAGGGGCTTTGCTAATAAAAAGAGTGACAAAGGGGTAGATGATGATCTTAATGTCTCCCACCATGTAGCTTGGGTGCAAAATGTGGAAGGGAGAAAAGGCTTGGCACCTCTGTTGGATTCAGTGCCCACCTGTTGATGCAGAGGGCAGTACCACAGGTATGGGGCCAAATCTGCCCTCCTGGGCTTCACATCTGCCACTCTGCATTTCTCCAAAGAGGCTCTGCCCCCTTTCCCTGGCCCCGTGACTTTCCTCTGAGCACCAATCATTTGGTGCTTTGCTGGGTCTCGCGCAACCTTTTCTCATTCTAAGCAGTTGAAATGGCTCTCCTAAGGTTCTGTTTCTGGAAATAAAAATGTTATGCTAGACTGGGCTGGGGTGGAGGCCCACCCCTTTCCCTTCAGTCCCACCCGCCACTGGATGCAGCCCCTGAAAGCATTGCTGGAAGGGAATGGGCCCTTGGGCTGAAAGGGCTGAACTCCTACGCCTTAATGACTGCTAGCAGCTAGTCAGGAATTCATGGTCTCCCTTGCCTGCACTGCATGCTTCCCTGGGCACTGAGTGCTCTGAAAGACCATGCTGTGGATGCACTGTGCATGTTGACCAGACTGGAACTTAGTGGAGCGAGAGGGTGCGTATACCTTTCCCGATGTCCTGTGCCCCCTGAATAGTGAGTGGAAGCAACGTCCATGACCCATGGCAGCCAGCTGTGGGGAGCGAGGGCACACATGCAGTTTATTCTGCCTTACACATCCAGCTCTGCACGAGCTCCCCTGTTGGGGAAATATTGAGATGTTGGCCCTCAAGCTGCTAAGGAAACCCTTTACAAAGTCATGGAACTAATTTCTTTGGCCAGAATTCAGTGGTAGGTTGGTGTTTTCTTTTGCACAAGGTAAACCCGAAAACACGTTTGCTCTAAAAGTAGAGAGCCAAACCTGAACCAATCAACTGAAGTCAGCAAGGTTCACCTTGCAGTGCTTTTTGTGTGTATTTTGATATAAACCCCCATTGGGTTCAGCTAGACTTTTCTGAGGTAAGCATATGTGAGGAGGTCACTAGACACCAGCAGCAAGCCCAGTGATGTATTTAGTGCAATCCACAACTAAGAATACTTAGAGAAGACTTGCTGAAATCAATTGGGCTCAAGTTCATCATGACTAATTTACATTCTGTAGCTTTCAATGGATCTGCTCTAAGATTCATAAAATCTGGAACCAACTCTTTCATTCGTATTGTTATATTAATTTAGCCCCTGTGACATGCTAGTAACATTCTTTTCAATACAGGGACTGAAGGCATAAAGCAATTGATGGTTAGAACCAGCCATCTGTTTGAATGGCTGGGTTCAGACATATGGTAGCCCATAGACAGGGGTTGAATATGGGTTAAGTGTGGCTTCTTGTTCAATCATAGCTTGTTGAAATGTGGGTTCTGAGCTTCCCTGAAGCCAGCTGTGCTAACAAACCATGTTAACCTCAAACAACCCATAGTGCACAACCCAACAGCAAAGCATGGAGTCTCTTTATGAGTTGTTTGTGGCTAGCAAACCTTGTTTGTTAGGGCGGCTGGGTTCATTCTAGATGTGTGGCTTGTTAGTGTTGTTGGGTTCACACTAGACAATAACCCACATTGCAATGGCAACCCATGTTTCACCATCAACCTATACTTAATCCACACTGTCCCCTTGAATGTGGTTAGTACATTGTCGGCACTCAGTCACCAGGTGGGTAGGCGTTTGTCTCTCTGTGTGTAAGAGACGATCCACACAGATCTCAACATATTTTGCAAATTATGTGTGGAAGCCCATAATGGGATCCTGTTTGGAACAGGTTCTAAAGGAATCTCACACTCATTCTCACATTCACTCTCATACTTTTTGCATGTGCAACTTGTTTCAGTGGGGAGAGGGGTACAAAAATGATGCAGTGCAACAACTAGCCAGTCCTTGATTTTACTAAAAATGTGGGTCACATCAGCATTAAAATACTACACACAGTACAAAACCTGTGCTGCACCTCCCTCTTTGCCCATGAAATATGCTCACAATAGGCTGTAATCCTGAAACCACTTACTCAGGAGGAGTCAAGCCAGATGCTTCAGTTGACCTCATGGCTCAGCACAAATGAATGTGAAATTGCAAACTAATCTCCTTGTTGAAAGTCATACAAGAAAACTCTGGTTGAACTTTTCCACCCTACTTAGTGGAAAAGAGAAGGTCAGTTATAAATAAAGGACACCATTCCAAAAACTGTAAAAACAAATTTCATTTTAAGTATTCAGCTCATCAAAGAAACAAAACAAAGCACAATCCGCCCCTGGCCCCAGCTTGCCCATTCAAGATGAATGTTGCAGGTCGGGCAAAGACAGCATTCAGCTTCTGGTTGATGAGTTTCCCAAAAGCTGCTTTAACATCTTTATTCCTCAGGCTGTAGATCAGGGGGTTGAGCATAGGAATCACTACAGTGTAGAAGACAGACGCCCATTTGTCTTGATCCAGGGCATAGACAGATGTTGGGCGTAGGTACATGAAAATCACAGTCCCATAAAACAAAGTGACTCCAAGGAAGTGGGATCCACAGGTGGAGAAGGCTTTCATTCTCCTCATGCCAGGATGCATTCTCAGGACTGATGCTAAGATGAAGATGTAAGATACCAGGATGACAGAGAGGGAGCTCATCCCAACAAAGCCAGCAAAAACAAAAAGCAGGATCTCATTGACGCGGGTGTCAGAACAAGAGATTGCCAGGAGTGGAGGAACATCACAGAAAAAGTGATCGATAAGGTTGGAGTGGCAGTAATGCAGGCTGAAAGTCCCTGTTGTGTGTATTACAGCATTTGCTGAGCCAGCAAGATAGGAGCCCAGTAAGAGTCGGGCACAGAGGGACTTGGACATGGCAGAAGAATAGTGCAATGGACTGCAAATGGCCACACAGCGATCATAGGCCATCACTGCCAAAATGTAGCACTCAGCATCCACAAAAGCAGCAAAGAAGTAGAACTGGGCAGCGCACCCAGGGAAAGAGATGGTCCTGTCTTTGGATATAAAGTCAGACAACATTCTGGGGGCAATGGCAGATGAGTAGCAGATGTCACAGAACGACAGGTGCCACAGGAAGAAGTACATGGGGTTGTGGAGGTGGGCATCAAGTGAGATCAGGAGGATCATGCCCAGGTTTCCCACAACATTGACAAGGTAGATGATCAGGAACACCACGAAGAATATGATCTGCATTTGTGGATTACTGGAGATGCCCAGAAGGAGGAACTCGGTGACCACAGTGCTGTTTCCTTTAACCATTTTCATACAAGGACTTGAAAGAATTGGAGAATGTAAGACCTCTGTGATCCCTGGAACTGGATGGAATCTCCAAGAATATAGCAGCTGCAGCATCCCAATTTCTTGCCCTACCTTTCAAGTAGACTAGATGAACGGATGCCAGTTAAAGTGTTGCTTGAACCTCAATTGCTTTGGGAGGCTGATGCTGCCTCCCAATGATCATCCAGACTTACAGTCCTCAAAAAGATTTCAGAAGACTCAAGCTTGCCAAATGATGTTCCCTTTTCTCTTCTCTTGCACCCTCTTATTGGTGACTGCAATCCAATCCAAGGTTTCAGCTCTCAAGCAAGTCAGTGTTTTTCTGATCCCAATGGATTTTGTGGTGTCTCCAGTTGTTCAGTAGCATGCCACTATTTATAGAGCACCAGAAAATGCGGTAATTATTGTGCTGTGTAGATGCAGGGGCTGCAAGCTTGGCACCCAAAGGATTTCTGATCTATGATTTCCCTCCTCTGTGGACTCAGTATTATGACATACTTTTTAGTAATATAGGCATCCCATGTAATTGGCTTTTCTGTTTTGCTTCCCTCCTTACTAGAGCACTGAACTTTGGCTGTCACTAATTTATAGGAAATAGATGTCATGGGCATATCTTTCTTCTGGCACAGCTCACAGATTCTTTCTACTGGGAAATTAGATTCTATGGGAGGTAGTTGGTGAACCCCATTGTCCAATCTTCCTACCAGAAAAACATGTTTTTACTTGTCAGACCCTGATAATGGAAACAAGAATGTGAATTCTGTGACTGTATCAGGAATTTGTTAAGGACAGTGCACATTCTCTGCATGTAAGTGGTTATGCACCTCTGTAGCAGGACTGGGAACTACCTTTGCTCAGGAGCCCAAAGATGAGCTCTAGTGAGAATACACTAGTAGATTAGCACATTCTTCCCCATTCTCCATATTGTGAAAGGAGGAATTTTGTGACACCAACCACTGAATCAAATGGAGCTTTAAAAATAGTTGAAATGGATGTCAAAATATATGTGGTTGCCCTGAGCTGAAAATATTAGGGGTTTTCAAATCTAGTGGTTTCATTCACTAAACTTTTGGATCAATGTTATTGAGATGGTATAACCTATAGCAGAATCCATTTAGGGTTTCCCTGCAAGAGGCTTTTATTCATCTGCTTTACCAAGGCTTTTGTTTCCAGATTCTTAAGATCAACTCCTTTATTCATGATTCTTTCCTCTTTTCTTCTGCCTTTTTATAGCTCACCACAACCACAAGGTGGTGCTCCAATATACTGGAATTATAAAAATAAACAAAAGAATCCAGATCATTTCTTGACCTTAAAAAAAAAAAAAAGCTGTGGAAAAGGCTGAAGTGCAGGAGAGGCCCTAGAAGATACAGATGTCGTGTAAAGCGCAGATAAAAGACCATGAGGGAAGAATCCTCAATGGGGCACAATTAATGCCTTGCGTGGAGAGGCCCTTAGTAGGAGACCATCCAGTAACACTAGGGGGGCATTTCTGAAAGCTGGTGGAAAAAACGGATTTGATATTTGTCGCAGCAAAAAATTAAAGAATGAATTGCTCCCAGTGGGGAATTGTTTTTAATTTAATATGTTTATATTATACATGTTCATATTGATGAATGCATTTAATAAGTTTTGAGAACTGAGAGAAAACTGGATCAGTTTTCTTTCTTTCTAACTTAAGAATGTAGACCAATCTGAGCTCAGTCTGATGAAACTGTAATAGAAATACATTATATCTGTTTCTAAAGTGTTTTTATTTCTGTCAATGTGTGTTTAGCAAAAATGTTCCTATCTTTGCTATACATAAGAGGGAGATAACAGGAGCATTGTCTGAGTTGTGAGATATAAAGAAAATCTGCTTTAAAAAACCCCAAGAATTAAATAAGAGAGAGAGAGAGGCTAAAATGGAGCAGCAGATGTGTCTGAGTCATCCATGTTGTTGGAATAGCGTGAGCAGTCAAGCTGGTCCTTAAGACCCAGACAGTATGACCAATGGTCAGATAGTTAGGGAAGTGTTCTCTAGCATATTTGTAGTCTGTTCCTTCCACAAAAGACCACCTGGCACCAGAATGCACATGGCAGCCTTTCAAGGGCCACTGTGCAGTCTCCTGACTGAATGTGGTGGGGAATTAAGGGTGTTGGAGCAGAGAAGGGTTTGGGGAGGGGGCATTATTTTTGAATGGGTTGACTGGGTCAGTCTGTACCTTTGAAACTTCCTTTCCTTACGTGGGGAGGCCTCCTTCCACCCCACTGAGAAGGCAGAACATTGAAGGCTTTCACAACTCACAAGTAACATTTTATTATAGTACCCAACTCGCACAGGCAATTTGTTTGCTTTTTAAAAAAAGAGAAATTCATTGCTTCTCACTGTTACTCAAAAAAAGTGTATGTGTCTGCCTGGGTGTACACATGGAGTTATACAAATATTGTTGATCGTTTTCTTATCATTTTGTAAATGGAATTTTGAACACCATTCAATTTCCTTTATTAGCCTGCAGCACAAAAAGGCTTCGTGTTCAGGACTCAGTTCTTCTCAGTGCAGCTTTTGGGGGCTGGTTATGCTGATCACCCACACCAGCCTGGTGGTCCCTGAGCCACAACGGAAGGCACTAAAGATGTGCAGGGGAATTAACATGAAGGCATATATGGAACCAGCATGACGAACTAGACTGCCACAGGCTTCAGGTACTAACAAGATAAAAACATCCTCAGGACTGCTTCCTGAAAGAACTACTGGTTCTTGGAAGTAATGCCATGCAAACAATGGCATTAATCCAATCCAGGGTGGACGGGTCCTAAGCACACGAATGGTGGAAATGCCCATCCTTGGGGTAGTGACCCACAGACTCCCATTATGGAAAGGAAGTTCCGAGGATGACCCTAGCAACACATGCATGACCAAAGGTCTTACTAGTCATTAACATTATCAGGCTGGTAAAAATAAAAGGAAAGGTACATGCTTGCAGTCCATATGTATTTATTCTGCCCTCCACTTCATCCCAACTTTCTTCAGAGCTTCCTTTACCTCCATGTTCCTGAGACTGTAAATGAGGGGATTCAGCACTGGGATTACCATGGTGTAGAAGACAGAAACGACTTTGTCCCTCTCCAAGGCATAGCTGGAGCTGGGGCGCGAGTAGATGAAGAGGATGGAGCCATGGTACAAAGTGACAGCAGTCAGGTGAGAGGCACAGGTGGAAAAGGCTTTCCATCTCCCTTCAGGGGACTGAATCCATAAGACGGCCGCCAGGATGAAGGCATAGGAGACAAGGAAAAGTGCTGAGGGAGTAATCACATTTGAGGCCAGAATGAAGTACAGCACAGATGGGTAGCTCCCTGGGACATTACAGGACAGCTTCACCAGTAGAGGAAGGTCACAGAAGAAGTCGTCAATGATGTTGCCTTCACAGAAGCTCAGCCTGAAGGTTTCACTCATGATTATTGTGGCATTGGTGAAGCCGCTTAGATATGAGATGGCCACCGGCCCAGTGCACAGCTTTCTGGACATGGCCATGGCATACAGCAGGGCTGCATAACGGTCATAGGCCATGGCTGCAAGGAGGTAACATTTGCTGTATGCAAGGCCAGCAGAAAAAAAGAACTGGGAACCACAACCTCCGAAGGAAATGCTGTTGTCTTCAGAAAGACAGTTCGCCAGGATTTTAGGGGTGTAGCCAGAGGAATACCAGGGGTCCAGGAAGGACAGATTCCCAATGAAGAAATACATGGGCGTATGGAGGTGAGAGCTGCTACAGATTAGGGCAATCAGTGCCATGTTCCCGCTCAGGCTGGCTATATATATGAATAGAAGCAGCACAAACAGGAGCACTTGGAGTTTGGGGTTTGTGGTGAACCCCAGAAGGATGAACTTTGCCACTGTGGTCTGGTTTCCTTTCTCCATGAAACTGCTCGAGATCTGTTGCTGAGGAAATGGAAGAAGCACACTGGAGTTATTTCAGTGAGCTATATTTCAGGCCTTCTTGCCAAGTAGAAATCAAGGATTGTCTGACTTTAATGAATAACGCCAGGTAATACTGGAAGGGGATGCCATTCCCGTGTTCTATGGGTGCTTAATTATGATCACATACAGCCTTCCCCAGCCCGATGCTCACTGAATGGACCACAATGGTTGGACTACGGTGCTCCGCTATGCAGGCTGGAGAATGTTGGGAGCTATAGTCCAACATATGGAAACCATTCTGGGTTGGGGAAGGCCCATCTAAAAGCAGGGCTGGCTCCAACCTGGAGGAGGCCCTCAGAAAAAGATGGTTCACTGTCTTCTCCTATTTGCTCTCTCCCCCACTGCAAGCTTAGGTAGTGCACTATTGGGTACCTGGGCAGCCACCATTTTAAAATCCCCATAATGCCCTAGACCGCCCAGCACAGCACTGCTGCAGGCTTCTCACACCCAGACATTGGGCCCCTTGGGAAGGTATGCTGGAGGATGGAGCCAAAGGAACTGCCTAGCACCAGAAACAGGGCAATGTGCCGCATCGTCAGAGGCAAAATGAAACAGATATCTGGGGAGGCCATAGGATGGATTGGCATCCTAGCTGTGACCCCAGAAAAGCAATCTGAAGTCATGCTGCGCCTTCAATCTTTGAGGGCCATCCTTCCACCTCACAGCAGGTGTGGTTCTTTCCACACGAGCTGAGTTCCAAAGGCAGAGGTTGGCTCTGGAGCTGGTGTGGAGGGGATGGGAAGAATGGGGCACAGCATTGTCCAGGGAAGCCAAGCAATGCCTCCTCCTTTCTTCTTCATGAGGAGGGGAAAACAGTTGGACAGCTGAAATCAACTGCATAAATGCTTTGGAGAGTGACAGGAGGCAATCCTAGCCTCCACACTTTTCCCACTGTCTAACCCAATTTGGAGAGGTATAGGCAGCCACACTGAATGGCACTAGAAAGCACTTAAGGAGTGTAGTTGCAAACCTACAAGTTTAGCAGAGGTAAGGAGAACAGAACTAATAATACTACAGAAAGTAGTAGAATATGAGAACAGCTGTACAAGAAGCAGAATAGATGACACCGTCCCTTTTAAGCAGTTCTGTTTACAGTCTCATGGACTGAGCCAAAAAGTGGGATTACCCCCCACCCCACTCATTAACTTCAAAGGCATATGTAATACATATACCCTGCCCCAATAGGGTGCCCTCTGGGTGTTTTGGACTGCAGATCCTATCATACTGGACCATTGGCCATGCTGGCTAAGGCTAGTGGGGGCTGTAATTCAAACATCTGGAGGGCACCACTTTGGTAGAGGATGAATTGTATCAATCTCATTTTTAAAAAATCTCTTTTGTAGAGAAGGAAGAATTGAGTTTCTCTCCTTAAATGTTAATGGGCTGAATGGACCTTCTAAGAGAAGAAGGGTTTTTGCTCAACTTCAAAAACGAAAATTAGATATAATTTGTTTGCAAGAAACACACATTAAGAAGCAAAGAGTTAAGCTTCTGGAATGCCTAAAACTGGGGAAATTGTTTGTATCTTCTACATCTCAAAAGAAAAGAGATCTAGCACTCTATGTTAAGGAAAAACTGGAACCTAAATTTATTCTTGCTGATGCGGAGGGTAGGATTCTGATGGTTGAAATTACAATTAAACGGAAAAAAGTACTTTTAGTGGCAATATATGCGCGAAATGATCATCAGGAAACTTTTTACCAAAAATTACACATGTTACGTCTACACGTGAATTTCCAGACTATGTGTGTAATGGGAGATTTCAACGCGATTGTGAATAAGGAAATGGATAAGAATGCTAGTAAAGGAAAAAAGGGTAGGAGGATACCCCCAAAGTCCTGCTCTAACATGATTGAGGAATTCAGACTGACGGACGCTTGGAGGCATAAAAACCCATCTTCTGCCAAATGCTCTTTTTACTCAAATGGACATAGGTCGTGGTCTAGAATTGATATGGTTTGGATAACTCCAGACTTAGCACCAGATCTGATAGAAGCTGAAATAGAGGCAAATGTCTGGGCAGATCATAATCCAGTATTTTTATCACTAAAAGGAACTGTAAGGACGCCCAGATGGAGCCTAGATAAAGCATTGTTAAAAGACAAAAAATTTACAGAAAAGATAAATAAAGAAATGCAAGTATTTTTTCAAATAAGTAAACCAGAAGAAACCTCTTTACAGAATGTCTGGGATACGGCCAAAGCCTATGTCAGAGGAGTGATAATAACATACTCAGCGCAAATAAATAAAAAGAAAAAACAAGAGCGAGCACTGATAGTAGAGGAGTTGATGAAACTGGAACAAGTGCTGCAGGAGGACCCATCAAAACAAAGTCTTAAGTCTCAGCTGTATATTTTAAAGCATAAGTTAAACCTTTTGGATACAAATGAGCTTACTAAACAAATTAAATTGACCAAACAGAACTTCTTTGAAAATGCTAATAGACCAGGGAGATGGTTAGCACATAAAGTTAAGAAAGAAAAAGAGAAGAGGTTGATTGTGAAATTGAAAGATGGAGAAGGACAATTACATTCACAGAGTGCACAAATCAAGAAAATAGTGGAAGACTTTTTTAAAAAGCTGTATCAGAAGGAGGGGATTCCAACTGAGAAAGTTAAAGAATATATTCAAAAGGAAGAATTACCAGAACTACCAGAAAAATACCAAAAATTATTAAACCAAGAAGTCACAATTACAGAAGTAATAGAAGCAATTCAGTGACAAAAGAATGACAAAACCCCTGGCCCGGATGGACTACCAGCAGAGTTTTACAAATCATTTGAAGCAATTTTTGCTACACTCTTAAAAGTCATATGCAATGAAGCATTGTTAAATGCTAAAATACCGACTACTTGGACTGAGGCAAATATCACATTAATACCAAAAGAAGATACGGATGTAGCACAGATTCAAAATTACCGACCTATATCACTATTAAATGTGGATTACAACATTTTTGCTTCTGTACTCGTAGAAAGACTAAAGAAGTTATTAATAGACTTTATCCATCCAGACCAGAATGGCTTTTTACCAAAAAGACAAATGAAGAATAACTTGAGAACTATCTTGGATATTTTAGAATATTATGAGATACATACCGAAAAACCAATGGCTTTATTGTTCATGGATGCCCAAAAAGCCTTTGATAACGTTAATTGGCAATTTACGAAGCAACAGATGATTCAAATGGACTCTGGTGAAAAATTTATGAATGCAATATCAAGTATTTATCAAAAACAGTCAGCCAGGATCTTAATTAATGGAGAACTTTCAAACCCTCTAGAGATCCAAAAGGGCACAAGACAAGGATGTCCGCTGTCACCCCTGTTGTTTATTTTGATTTTAGAGGTATTGAATAGATCTGTTAGGGATGACAAGGACATCAAAGGAACTAGAATTAGGGATGAAAGTTATAAATTGCAAGCCTTTGCGGATGATTTGGTTTTTATAATGGAGGAACCTTTTGTAACAATGCCTAAACTTCTACAACGGATTGAGGAATATGGTGAAGTTACGGGAATGAAAATAAATAGAGAAAAAATGAAATTGTTAGTTAAAAACTTTACGCGAGAACAAAAAGAAAGACTCCAGGAACAAGTAGATTTGCAGATTGTTAAAAAGGTTAAATACTTGGGAATCTATCTTACAGCTAAATGTACCACTTTGAAAGAAGATAATTATGATAAATTATTGAAGGATATTAAAGATGTTTTGGGAAAATGGGCCAATTTACAATTATCTTTGATGGGAAGAATAGCACTTGTTAAAATGAATATATTACCTAAACTTCTGTTTCTGTTTCAAATGATTCCCGTAAAAATTGATAAAAAATTCTTTGATGACTTAAATTTTCATATCTCGAGATTTATCTGGAGAAAAAAGAAACCAAGGTTTAAATTAAAAATGTTTCAGGAAGCTAAAAAGAATGGAGGTTTTGGTCTTCCTGATTGGATCTTGTATTACCAAGCGTCTGTTCTAACTTGTGGATAACGTTGTGAAATAAGAGAATTTTGTATCTTGAAGGTCATGACTTACCGATGGGATGGCATGCTTATATGTGGCATGAAAAAGCTAAGTCACGTGGGTCGTTTCTGAGTCATTTTATTAGAAGATCTTTAATGTAAGTGAGGGAAAAACTAAAGCTAAAACTGTATAATAAATTACCAAGATGGGTTTCACTTATGGAAGCTTTTGTATATCCAAATGTATTGAACTTGATCATAAGATATGGCGATATCTTGGATAAGGACGGTGGCCTGAAACTGAAGCAAGAAATACAATAACAGGGACTTAATATTTCCTGGTGGTATAAGGTGCAGATGCAATCGAGATATGCTAAAGATTGTAAAACATGGGGGTTCTACAAAGACCTAACAGAATTTGATCAAGTGATGCTTAAAACAGATGAGAAAATCATTAAAGGACTATATGATTTTTTACTTGACAGGAAAATGGAAGGGGAACAGGTTAAGGAAACTATGATAACATGGGCACAAAACTTTGGCTTTAATGTTGAACTAGAAAAGTGGCAAAAACTATGGGAAAGAAACATTAAAGTAACATTAGCAACCTCATATAAAGACAATTTATATAAAATGTTCTATAGATGGTATTTGTCACCAAGTCGATTAGCTAAGATGTTTCCAAATACGTCAAATCAATGTTGGAAATGTAAACATAAAGTGGGTACATTTTATCATATGTGGTGGACTTGTGATAATGCAAAAAAGTACTAGATTAAAATACATAGATGGATGGAGGAAATATTACAAAAACCCTTTGTCTTTAAACCCAAAGTTTTCTTGTTGGGCATCATACTGGAAGACATTAACAGACAGGAAATGTATCTGATACTGCATCTAATCACAGCGGCAAGGATTGCATTTGATTAATATTGGAAAAGTGAGGAGCTGCCCACCGATGGACTGATTGTAAGAAAG